CTCACCAATCCACTCATACACTAGCTATGTCCCTCACCCAGTCACTAACACAGTAGCTTAGTCACGCACTCACCCAGTCACTAACACAGTAGCTTAGTCACCCACTTACCCATTCACTCACACAGTAGCTTAGTCACTCACCCAGTTACTCGTACAGTAGCTTAGTCACCCACTCACGCATTCACTCACACAGTAGCTATATCACTCACCCAGTAACACAGTAGCTTAGTCACCCATTCACCCAGTCACTCTCACATGAAATTAGTCACTCAGTCACTCACACAGTAGCTTAGTCACCCACTCACCCAGTCATTCACACGGTAGCTTAGTCACTTACCCAGTCACTCAAGCAGTAGCTTAGTAACTCACTCACCCAGTCACTGACACAGTAGCTATGTCTCTCACCCAGTCACTCACACAGTAACTTAGTCACTCACTCAGTCACTCACACAGTAGGGTATTCACGCACTCAACCAGTCACTCAGTAGCTTATTCACTCACACAGTGACTCACGCAGTAGCTTAGTCACCCACTCACTCATTCAATCACACAGTAGATATGTCACTCAGTTGCTCACACAGCAGCTTTGTAACTCACTCACCCAGTCACTCACACAATAGTTTAGTCACTCATCCACTCACACAGTAGCTTAGTCACCTAGTTGCTCAAACAGTAGTTTAATCATGCACCCAGTCACTCACACAGGAGCTTAGTCACCCACTCACCCAGTTACTCACGCAGAAGCTTCGTCACCCACTCACCCAGTCACTTACACAATAGCTTAGTCACTCACCCAGTCAGTCAGACAATTGCGTAGTCACTCACACAGTCAATCACGCAGTAGCTTAGTCACCCAATCACTCACACAGTATCTTAGTCACCCAATCACTCACACAGTATCTTAGTTACTCACCCAGTCAATCACACAGTAGCTATGTTACCCAGACACTCACACAGTAGCTTAGTCACGCACTAACCCAGTCACTAACACAGTCACTAACACAGTAGCTTAGTCACGCACTCACCCAGTCACTCACACAGTAGCTTAATAGTCACCCACTTACAATAATTGTAATGAACCAGGGCATTGCTGCCAGAGTAGTTATCCCCACGTGGCTATAACTGCAGATTGTGCTAATTCTCGGGATGTGTGGTTTGTCGCTGATGCTTACCTGTCGGGCGATGTAATGCACGTATAGAGCCCTTACCGCTCCACTGCTGGATGAAGAAAGCCTCCCCACGCCTCTCACTGTGTTGCTTGACCATACTAAACCACGCCGGTCAACATGGAATGGGGAAGGACCGGAGATAATTGCAGTTAATAGGAAGCGACGTTTCTAATTCATTTTTGGTGATTGGTAAAATAGAACATGGAAATTAATTGCAATTGGTGGTAATTTAATGACGGCGGATTTTATTCGGCGGTAATGGTGATGAATTGGCGGCGATTGGAGGGGGGCGGGGATTGTTCGGCGGTGACCGCGCCACGCGCAATGCGCCGCTCTTCCCGGGAGCTGAGCAGTGGTTGGGCCTGGACAGGCACCACCGCAGTGCATGCCAGGTGCTACAGGCTGCTGCTCCTGCTGCTGTGGGGCTAAGGCAGTGCAGCTACTTCCATTGTTGTTATACAGTCTGTTCTCCAACAACGCAGTAGTTGCGTTCTTGAAGAACACCGCGTTGTGGAAATATCGCGTTATAATCTTATCTCTTCTATATATAAAATGGAAATTTGTGAATATCTATGTTCGAAATGTGTGGGGGCTAATGCCCCCCTCCCCACTCCCCATTAGGTGGGGGCTGATCTCCCTCTCCCTCACCACGAGCGGGGGGGGGGCGCCACGTCTACTTGGTGGGGGCTGATGCCCTTCCTTCACTCCCCATTAGGTGGGGGCCGATGCCCTCCCCCCACCCGCCATTGGGGGGGTCAATCATCTCCCCCTCCTCGCGCGTCCTAACCTCGCGAATTACGTAATATTGTTTAACTCGCCGCTCGCGGCTGCTAGAGTTAAATAATTATTTCTGCTAAGCCGTGTCAACAAGCCAACGGCGCTCGGAATCAATTAATTAATCTTTGCGCGCTATGCTGGCGGCGCTGTCAGGCGGGCCTCTATTTAATTATTTATTTGTATGTGCGCGCGAGTCGTGCATATACTGATCAGGCGGGCCTCTATTTAATTATTTATACTGGTAGGAACGAAGTTGTAAACTGAGTGTACCAGCCTGCAATAGATTAATGTGTCCGTCCGTCCGTCCCCTTTCAATACTTTAACGAAGTGAAATCTCGTGCTGTTGGGTGTAAAATCAGCAATAGACAGCGCAGAGACTTGTCCTACCAGCCCACCCTGCAGGGACCTGTTATGTATGTGCGCGCGCGTCGTGCATATACTGATTAAAATCACCCACACACCGTCGTACGCCGATCACTGTCCCACCGCTCTTCACCCACACACACGCACCACGCGTCAAACATCAGTCTGTGCTAAGGGTTTATTCCCGGAGTGAATAGTGAACCCCTGTTTATGGCCCCCTCCAGCCAGCACCCTTCGCCCGGCGCCTAACCTCCTATCACCTAGCCGTCGCAGAGTGCGTCTCTCCCCCCAAGCTCGAGCTGACTGCGAGCTGGGCTGAATTGCCCCCCCCGTACCTACTCACCTTTCCAGCTGCATGATGGGGGTTGGGGAAGATGCCCGCCTCAGAGACTTTGTCTGGACAATCGTTTTCAGCTGCACCCTGCAGGCGTCCCACGGACGCTGAGGGCGGCTGGTATTCTCCACCGTGCCAGAAGGACTCTGATCTAATTTTCCCTCCTGCCCCCCCTTATGTTCCCAAAGCCCGTTAATCCCCTGGTCATATGACGTCATCCTGAGCATCCAATCGAATCCTCTTTGCAGCCGTTTTGAGCGCTCTGATCGTTGGGGGGGGGGGGGTCGCGTCATCCCCCCCCCCTTCCCATTGTCTCTGGGCCTACGTTTCCTCGCCGTTGGCTCATCGATTAATCCCCTCGCTCCTTCCAACTTAAGTCAACTCTTATCTGCCTAGGGGTTTTTTCCCTCCCACCCCACTGTTTACCCTGCCGCTGGGTACTGGCTGAAGGTCCCATCCCCCGTGTTGTGTATGCTTCATCGCGGCCGGCCTGTAAAGCTCTATGCCCCCTTTTTGGGGGGGACGCCATGTTATCCGGTCTGGGGGGGCTCAGCCAATTTCCTGGTCTGGGGAAACCGTGGAACGTCCCTGCTAGTGGGGTCCTAGGGTGAAAACCCATCATAGCAGGTGATCCCTCCTCGAGACCCTATGGGGGTGCATGCGAGTGTTTAGTGGGGCGTGCGTGCGTTCGTGGGGGTGGGGGGGGTGCGAGAGAAGGTAGCGCCGGCCGAGTTGCTCCGCCTGCGGTGGCACCACATATGCAACAAAGTTGAAATTTTGCATGTGGGTAGCTTCCAGACTGTACAAAATGCAAAAAGTATAAAAAATAGACTTTTGCATTTTGGGGGGGGGGGAGGGGGGGGCGCAATTATGGATATAATTTTGCACGGCAAGTGAGCGGTGACGCCACATCTGTGATGTCACCGGCATGTGGCAGCATTAAGCAGTGTGCCTGCTGACGTTACAACCACCCCCACCCTCCGCGTTGGCCGTGTATCCCGCACCTGCTAGTTATATACGCAGGGTCAAACAAGCATCCAGCAGCATCCCACCTTGTGCAATGCTTCGCCGAGGCAGCCATACGACCGCTTATTCCTACTCGCATGACGTAGTTCTGTTCACGGTCCAATCGCGTTATATCCAATTCGCGTCCGCGTTATAAAAAAGGTGTTTCCTAAAATATTCATCGCGTTATATCCATATGAACGCGTTATGAAAACGCGTTGTAGGAGAACGGGCTGTACTCTGTACAGTTCTACTTCTGGCTCCTTCCCGCCTTCACACACCCGCGCTGACACAGCCTGGTGAAGTATGGTCAACGAACCCTGTACAACCTCGCGCCAACGTCTGTAGTTCGCTTCGCATTGACAGTGGTGGTTGCTCATTAAATCGGTGTTCGTGTTAATTGTGTGTTTGTAATGGTAATCGTATGTTGTTTAGATGTGGCTTGTGGTAATAGTGGACAAGTTGATATTGGCGCTTCGCATCGCGTTCCTGGAGGTGGGGGCTCCGGGGGAGGGGGTGAGCTGATCACGTGACACACACCACGCTCCCACAACAAAACGCGCCGTGAGCCCAACACGTGGCGAGCACCTGGACCACAGCCCACCCCCACAGCCCCCCCACAGCCCCACATCAGCCTTCTCCCCCCGCCCTGTGTGGATTGCACCAGGGGAGGCCACGTGTGAGATGCAGGGGACAGGGTTGGGGTTCGGGCAGCTCGGGGAGATCTCTAAGACCCCCTCCTCAAACTTGATTTGGTGCTTTCGTGACTGCAGGAATTACTCTTTGGTTCTTTTGGTAAAGTCACGTAGAAAGAAAAATAATTAAATAATAGCATACGACGTTTCAGACACGGAGACACATAGACAGACACATAATCAGAGAGAGATAACACAGAGACACACAGAGAGATACACACACATAGGCACACAGAGAAACAACGCCTCTGTGTCAAGGCCTTAAATAGAGATAGATAGAGGGGGGCAGAGAGAGAGAGAGGGGGGTTGAGAAATTAGTATGTCAATGAGAGATTTGGAGCTTTCGTGACTGCAGGAAATACTAGAGCGACAACACGAGGGGAGATACACAGCTACTCTCTCCTTAATCTCCTAGTGCAGCTCCATCTCCTCAGCTACTCTCTCTTGCTCTCTCTCCATCGCTCTCGCAACCTCCTCCCTCAACCTCCTGCACCTCTCCTCCCGTGACCCACTTCCTCCCCCCTCTCTTCTCCATCCACCTCCTCCTCTCCACTCACAACGCACCCCACCTCCTCTCCCCACCACTCCACCCTCTTCCCTACCTCTCTCGTCCCGCCACCTCCTCTCCTGCATCTCTCCTCCACCTCGATCATTCCATCCTCCCTCCTCCCCTCTCGTCCAAACCACCCCTCCTCTCCTCCCCCTCCCTCCTCCCCGGTCGCTCTCTCCCTCACGCCTCTTCCAAGGAGATCCCTTGCTCTCCCCGCGTCTCCCCATTCTGCCTATCCCCGTCTCACCGGCGTTCCGCGCTCAACTCTTCACCTCGTGGGCTGTGGTGAGGTCAGCGTGCACACTGGAAGTGTAGGTGAGTGTGTAGGTTAGTGTGTGTGTGACTGTGGGGAGTAGTGGTTAGCGTGGTGCGATGTGCAAACATCTCCACGAGGGAGACAAATGCGGCCAGGCGTGGTGCTGACACCCACCCTGTGTGCTAGGCCGGCCTTCTTAGGGTGCTCACTAACAGTACTCTGCCCCAACAGTCTGATAAAGGTTATACGGGAGATCTTTGTATTGTCTAGTGTGGCTTAGTGCGAGTGTGACTGTGTGGGTGAGCTAGTTGTAGATACAATGGGAGGCTGATCGAATGCCTCGAGGGATAGTTCCCAATTGGTCAAACCATGTTATGTATGCCAATGATCTGGTGATTGCTGCTTACTCAGAGTTGGAGGCGCTAATGCTGAACCTGGAGCGTCCCACTAAGAGGTGGGGCCTTCTCATTAGCCCCACTTAAACCTGCTAGAGTGTCATCAAACAATCCAACCCCTCTACTCTCCATGAGTGATAGGGCAGTTGTGGAGAGAGTGGAGAAGTTGCCTTACCTAGGCGGTGTGCTTATGACCATCTCCGGTGTGGCAGCAGAGTTCTCACTCTGAATCAATCAACGGCATTATCTTTTCACCAGCTGCGTAACGCTGTGTGGAGGTTTCTTTACTTGTCGCTCCACACGAAGCTGGAGATTACGTGGCAATGTCCCAGTGGGCACGTGAAGTGATTCATATTTTATTCGCTTGCGGGTACTAACTAGTTAGGATTACCTCACAAAATGGACAATGGGGTTACAATTTTGATGTTCATTATTCATACATATATTTCTCAGAACCATTTTGAGTCCTTCAAGGGGGTACATTCGGTTGAAACTAAATTTCAACAAGGGGAGTACAGAGTAGCCAAAAAAAGGTTGAGAACCATTGCTTCAAAGGAACATCTGTGTCGGTTTGAAAATTATCAGGCTGGCCTGCCCATGATTCATTCTTGATTTAATCAGACTGGATTGTGTGAGGAGCACATAGATCCTTAAAATACCTGGATACAGTCCCATCCGTGAGCTCTTCCTGCAGGCGAGGAAGCTGTGTTGGCTGGGTCATGTAGCTCACATGCCAAACCACTGCATGTTCTGTTTGGCCGGATAGACAAGGTTAAACGGGCATGGCACCGGCTGGAGAAGAGATGGACTGATACGGTACATGAGGATGTGGAGCTGAGTGGACTTTTCGATTAATGGTACCAGCTGTGCCACGAAAGGCCTATATGGAGTAGGCTTGTGATGGAATCCACTGGGCAGTTGGAGGCAGTCACCCTCCAACAACAGCGGAGGGCAGAGGAGCAATGCTCACAACAACTAGCAGAACGCCCGGACGGCTGATACATAGCAAGTAGGCACAGTAGGGGCACAGGTGGTGCGTCTGTTTGGTGACCTAACAATGAGCTGTTGACAATTCACATGCTTCAGAGTGCGCCTATATTGGCACAAGCGCTGTGGTGACGTCCACCGCTGCTTAGTGTTGTTGTTGGTGAGCGTGAAGTCCATGTGTGCGCCTGGGTTTGGACTCCACCAGGATCACTGTGTCCCTGTGGTCAGGTCGTGCGTGACTTTTCACTGTGCCTTCTGTTTTCTGTACCATGCCCACCCATCACCAGCCCCCACTTTGCCGTCACCCCTTAATATGACCCTCACTGGGGGTCGCCCTGACTCCACAATAGCCTCAGCTGTGAACCACTGACTTCATAAAGTGACCAGTTCAACACCAATCACATCAGCACCTCCACATACACACAGAAAAAATACATTGGCTCCATCATCACTGCCAATATCATCATCACTGTCCATGCCAAAAACATCACCGCCATCACAATATCGTCAGCGTCACCACCATCATAAACATCACTGCCATCATCTCCAAGCTGGGAGAGCTGTAGCAGGACATTGTGACCCGTGGGTGAAGGATACAAACAGGACTTGACTGAGGAGGCCTTGTCTGTAATAGAGGGAGTGGGCCAGGGGGGTGATACGGATGTTTACCGCCGTGAATGAAGTCTCAGACTTGTTTGAAAACAGAGCCTACCTCTACCCTTAACCCAGGTTTAGGCCTAGCCTTTTAACTGCACACTAGAAATCTCTAACTCGAAACCCTAAACTAAGCCTAACTCTACTTCTAACCCATGCCTGTCTCTCACACGCTCCCTAACAATACCTCTAACTCAGCCACACCCTACCCTAACCCAGGCCTGCCTTTCACCGTATCCCTACTATAACGCTAACGCAGTCACAACCCTACCCCTAACCCACGCCTACCTCTCACCCTCTCCCAACCAATACCTCTAACGCAGCCACTACCCTCCCCAATTGTACCTCGACCTATCACCTTCCCCAATGTCTAACTATTCCTCGTCTCTCCTCTAGGCTTACGATGCCTTTGTGCTGCAGCTAAAACTCACCGGAACTCAACTGCGCACGGCCCTGCTCTCCCTGACCCTCCTTGCTCTCCTCCTGGCCAGGACCCAATATACTTTGGATCCCAGTCCACTTGGACGTCAACCCCCTTTACTAGCGGTGTGGGGGCCCAAGGCAGGGACATGGGGATTCCTCATTGGCTGGTGCTAGTGTTGTTGGGGTGCGTGGGGGTCACAATGAAATCAGACCGCGCTGGGGACCCCGCAGGGTCCCAGATCCCTTTGTCCTGGTCTGAAGGACCCAAGGGGTCCTGGGGTGGTAAAATAGCGGCCGTGGTGGAACACAACAACAAAAAGACCGTGTCCATGACTCTTAAGCACAATAACAACAACCAGACTGTTTTCTAGAAGGCTGTTAATGTACAAGCACAACTATGACCAGCAAGCCTATGCGCCATAAACGCTCAGCCCGCAAGAAGAACCACAAGTAATTTGTCTAGCAGACTCACGATCAACAACAAGCAGGATCGACACGCACAGGCTCGGGAGGACAGCCACGGGCAGTGACAAAAAAAGAAGAGCCAGGAACAACGGCACAACCAGCGCAACACGCACCACGACTACACACAGCCAAGGGACACCTGGCACCCATAACCATAACTCTAAAACACCACCACCAGCAGCCACAGCTCTAAAACACTCATACCCACAACCACCACCAACCACAACTCTAAAACACCCACCACCAACCACAACTCTAAACACCCACAGCTACCACTACCAACCACAACTCTAAAAGACCCACCAAACACAAACTCTAAAACCCCCATCACTACCAACCACAACACTAAAACCCCCACCACCACTAACCCTAAACACCCACGACTACAACCACAACTCTAAAACCCCACAACTATCAACCAAAACTCTAACCCACCGCCCACCACCTCCCACAACTCTAAAACACCCACAACCACCACCAACAGCCACAACTTAAAACCACCACCACCACCACTCTAAAACCCCCACCAACCACAACTCTAAAAACCCCCACAAACTATCAACCACAACTCTAACCCACCCCCCACCACCTCCCACAACTCTAAAACACCCACAACCACCATCAACAGCCACACTCTAAATCCCTACCACACCAACCCCAACTCTAAAACACCTACCACCACCACCACAACTCAAAAACACCCACAACCACCACCAACCACAACTCCTAAAACACCCACCACTACAAGAGTCAAGCACAGGCACGCATAAACAAACCAGATGCAACCCCAACAAGAAACCAGCAACCTACCACACGACAGCAACAATAAAACTCGCATTAGCAACAACAACAAGAAACAAAGCACCACGTCAAACAACCCTTAATAATGGCCGAACCACCCACCACCACCACCACCAACAAGACCACAAAAATGCCACCACCAACCACTCACAGTAAAACTACCGCCACTGCTAGTCACAACCACCACGACCACCATCATAACCACCGCCATAACACCAATCACCAGCCACGGACAGGGTCATAACGGTTCCGAACCATCACTTTAATGGGTCTCAACGCAATAGGACCAGATCAGCACCATCATCCGCCTCATCATCCGTCGCAGCGCATCGTCAGCAAAACCATCAGCAGAGCCGTGGAGAGGCGGGGGTGGGGGGAGCCCCAGGAGCGACGGGGGGCCCAGGACGAAGGGCCGTGACCGCAATGACCCCCCAGGGTCAGAATGGCCGCCGGCGAGAGAGGAAACCCTCCCATCCAGCCACGGTACTTACGCGAGGTGCGTGGAGCTACAACATCACAACATCAACAGTGTCATCATAAACTTCATCATCAACACTGCCATCATCATCAACTCCATCATCAAACACTGCCATCATCATCACTGCCATCGGCATCAATATCATCATCATCACCACCATCATCAACTTCAATCATCAACACTGCCATCATCATCAATATTGCCATCAGCATCATCATCAACACTGCCATCAGCATCAACTTCATGTATATATGTATGTTTAACTTTTTTAGCACCGTACCATAGCCAACCGGACGAATCAGAGGTGCGGGGGGAAGGACAACAAACTCAACACAAAATAATTTCTAAGAAATGGGGTTTCCATCTATATTAAAAGTGCATAGCTCTTTTGTCTTCCTAATATCAGAAGGTAGAGTGTTCAAGATGGCTGCAGAAGTGCATCTTAAAACGTGCGATGCAGTCACGCAGGCTTTGTTTTATGGTTAGCCAAAAGCCGCTGTGAGGATTAACTGGAGTTCACGTGATTGTTTATGCTCCTTGACTCGATCAGCAAGGTATTATGGTTCATTTGTGGCAAGCACTTTGTGCATAACGAGTGCAACCTGATAATATATTCGTTTGGCAACAGAAGCCATTTCAGCTCAGCGAGTACTGGACGGACATCGTCGGATTTTGAGTACCCATCACGACACGTGCCAAAGAATTTGTACATGCTGCAGCTTCGTAATGTTTATTGCCAGACGTCCGTAGAGTAGTGAGTTTCAATAATTGAGCTTTGTAGAGTCTATGCTACACACTACCGTGTTGGCTTTGTCACTAATTCAATAGTGGTCGAATGTGTCGTTGAGTCCTGATATTAAAATTGCAGGACCTGACTATATTTTGGCACGTGGTGATCAAACGACATATCTGGTTGGGTATGTACCTCAACAGCAAAAAAGACCTGGTTTTCAAACAGAAAGAGAAAACAATAATAGATAACATCAGACCATGGCAAAGAATAAAGGAAATGAAACAACTGAAAGCTAAGCTACTGACACAAAGTCACAGAGGCTCCAGGAACAGATCCGGTTGGCCTACAAGAGCAGAGACAAGGAGGTAAAGAGGAGCGCCAGGAGAGACACAAGGGCTTTTGTGAAGGATATGGACAAACAAAGCTGAAAGTTGCAGCCATTGGCGATATGGTTACTTTGAACAAGATCACTAAACGTTTGCGGCAAAAAAACAACCAATTAGCCCCCTGTCAAGGACAAAATGGAAATTATATCACTGCTGAGCATGAACAAGCATTAAGATGGGTCCAACATTTCCTAGAGGTACTCAACCATCATGATCCAGAACAACCGGCTAACCCCTACAACAACTGGCAATGTCCTCAACATCAACATCAACTCACCTGACATGGCTGCGGTCAGAACCTCCATCAAAGCACTGAAGAATGGCAAGGCATCTGCCATAGACTCCATCTATGCTGAGATGTTAAAGGCAGACATTATCACTGCTACTAAAGTTCTAACTGATTTTCTTCCAAAACTTCTGGGTCAAAGACATCATCCATGCGGACTGGTCAGGGGCATCATTGTTCAAATACCCAAGAAAGGTGACCTCTCGAACTGTGACAACTGGCGAGGGATTACCCTACTGTCTATCCCAAGCAAGGTCTTTTTGCAGAATCCTCCTCAAAAGGATTGGGTCAGCTATCGACACCACGCTTAGGCAAGAACAAGTAGATTCAGAACCAGAAGAGGATGCATTCACAGCGATTTCGTCTGGTGACAGCCAGTTACTGCGCCCTTTCCTTGTTCTCTTTGTACTTGTACGGATGGGTACGAGTTCATCAAGAACAGCAGTGATGTAATTTCCTAATTGAGCTGTAAATTAATTGGCCATCTATGCATGATTTAGACACGCCGATGATGACCAGATCTTCTGATAGAAATCATCATGGTCCAGTTGTTTCCAGTCTCTGTATAATATCGTTGTGACAGGTGGGCGAGTCATTGGTAATACCACTTTGCTCATGAGACTGTGATCTGAAATACCCACATCTTCGATAACGTTGGTTACAGTTACAGCATTGGCGGATATGAAGATGTGATCCAGTACATTTTCCCAATCGACATGTTGCATCACTGACGTGCTGGATTAAACTGTGACTATCAATACTCTTGGCAAAATCGCTGTTGATTTTATCACAGGCACCAGTTAGTCCGTGACAGTTCAGGTCACCACAGATTATGTGGTGAGCGCCAAGTGACCCACAGTCTGGCAGACCGGAAAGCTCGGAAAATAATTTCGGTAGCGGTGAAGACGGCGGTTGATAGATGATAGCGATCCTAAGCCCCTTCATGCTGTTCGTTATTTTAACAAGCAGCAGCTGGATTGACTTGATAGTTAATGAGTCGTCTCTACATCATGGGCCCTCCTTTGCCAGTACCAAAATATGAGAATAGGTTTTTCCCCTTTTGTTCTGGCAACAAAACAGGTGTTAAGTTATATTCTTAGTTTTTTCGGTAAGTCACGTTGAAGAGAAACAACAAAATAACAAAATATATATAAAACAATAAAAAATTCTCACGACGTTTCGACCATAACTCAAACGGTCATCATCACACCTGATGATGACCGTTTGAGTTATGGTCGAAACGTCGTGGTCGAAACGTCGTGAGAATTTTTTATTGTTTTATATATATTTTGTTATTTTGTTGTTTCTCTTCAACGTGACTTTACCGAAAAAACTAAGAATATGAATTACTGCAGTCACGAAAGCTTTAAATCAAATTTAGGTGTTAAGTTTTAAAACACCAAACTGAAACCTTTTACAATGAATCCAGTCTGCATTAACTAAATACAAAAAAAAACATACTCTGATAATATATGCATTGTCTTTGAAACTGATTGGTCCACACCAGAGGCAGCTTTATTTCGAGCCTAGTTTTAAACGGTGTTAGACCAGAGGACGCCAAAAAGTGTGGACCAATCAGTTTCAAAGACAATGCATATATTGTCAGAGTATGTTTTTTGTATTGTGGTTAATGCAGATATGATTCCTTGTGAAATGTTTCAGTTTGGTGTTTTAACATCTTAACACCTGTTTTGTTGCCAGATAAAAAGAGGATAACCCTATTCTCAGTTAATGAGTCGCATTTGGACTTTCACGCAGGTGTCTTCATGGTGAATCAGTGCGATACCACCATGCAGGCTGCTGGTACCAGGCTTCCCACAACGGTGCTTATGTACAACAGCGTATCCGTTCGATGCAGCCTCATGCTTAATTACGTCTGGTGAGTTATATATCCAGGTTTCTGTAACAGCCAATATGTGGAGTCCACACTCGTTGATCAGATCCTGGATGAGCGCCGTCTTGTTGACTATGGAGCGTGCATTGACCAATCCAAAGTGGAGGAACCCTGGTTCAGGGTTTGGCTCGATACCCGACATTAGCAGCAGTATGGCGATGAATACGCGCTTCCGTGGTCGTGTGAATGTAGGGCATAAGAAGAACCGACCAGATCTGCAGCACAACGATGTACAAAGCATTGCAATAAGTGATGAACACGGCTGGGTAGGGTTCAGCATTTCCACAGCAGATCGTAGCAAAGTGGGTGCGGAAATCAACTAGTTTGTGTGTGGTGTATGCGTACTGCATGCGTGCTGTATGTGTACTGCGTGTCTACTCTGTTCTGCGTGGTGTGTGCTGCGTGTGTACTGTGTGCACCTCATATGTATTGTGTGTGTGCTGCATGTGCACTGTGTGTGTGATGCATGTGTACTGTGTGTGTGATGCGTGTGTACTGTGTGTGTGTGATGCATGTGTACTGTGTGTGATGCGTGTGTACTGTGTGTGTGCTGCATGTGCACTGTGTGTGTGCTGCGTGTGTACTGTGTGTGTGATGCATGTGTACTGTGTGTGTGCTACATGTGCACTGTGTGCGTGATGCGTGTGTACTGGGTGTGTGCTGCGTGTGTACTGTGTGTGTGATGCGTGTGTACTGTGTGTGTGATGCGTGTGTACTGTGTGTGTGCTGCGTGTATACTGTGTGTGTGCTGCATGTGCACTGTGTGCGTGATGCGTGTGTACTGTGTGTGTGTGATGCGTGTGTACTGTGTGTGTGCTGCATGTGCACTGTGTGCGTGATGCGTGTGTACTGTGTGTGTGTGATGCGTGTGTACTGTGTGCGTGATGCGTGTGTACTGTGTGTGTGATGCGTGTGTACTGTGTGTGTGTGATGCGTGTGTACTGTGTGCGTGATGCGTGTGTACTGTGTGTGTGATGCGTGTGTACTGTGTGTGTGCTGCGTGTGTACTGTGTGTGTGCTGCATGTGCACTGTGTGCGTGATGCGTGTGTACTGTGTGTGTGTGATGCGTGTGTACTGTGTGCGTGATGCGTGTGTACTGTGTGCGTGATGCGGTGTACTGTGTGTGTGTGTGATGCGTGTGTACTGTGTGCGTGATGCGTGTGTACTGTCTGTGTGATGCGTGTGTACTGTGTGTGTGATGCGTGTGTACTGTGTGTGTGCTACCAGCTGCCCCGAATTGTGCAACACGGCGCGCTGCCCCCTGCTGCCCCCCTCGGGCTGCCTCCAGGGGGAGGTGTGGGACCCGTGTGGCTGCTGCCATCAGTGCGGCCTCCCCGAGGGGACCCTGTGCCTCCCAGCGGCCCGGGACCCCTGCGGAAGGGGCCTCGTGTGCAGGGCCGGTGCGTCACGGGGGTACATGTGGGTATACGTGGGGGCAGACAGGGATACACTCTGGGTTTAAAAAGGTTGAAAGGTTTGTTAGAAATGTTATATCACCCCTACTCAAGGGGGAATCACAACATCGCACAGTCTCAAAAGATTAAATCTGGTGAAAACGATAAAACACAGTATAGTTAAGAAAATGCAATGAGAAAGTAGTGAGTCCCACATTACGTCCGGCAAGGCATTCCAGATCAGAGGAGCAGCACTCGGCCACCCGGTGTCACGTGCACGATCCATGGCTGTTCAGAGTCGGCCCGACTCTGAAGATCAAAGCACATAGACCGCAGTGGAATGAGGGACCAACCAGGCCCATAGAGATGCACGTCCAAGACTGTGCGGCGCTTAATAGGCTAAAATAGCGAGCTTGTACTGAAAGTGAATGCTTACTGGAACTCGGTGCAGATCGTGGAGAGTGGGAGTTGCGCCTCAGCATTCGAGCTGCTGCATTCTGCACTGGCTGAAGCTTCTGCACGAGGACAGGTGGAAGCTCTGTATAAAGGATATTGCCATAGTCTAGACATAGCGATACAAAGGCATGGGTTGATTATACAAGGCCATGAGCTACAAACAGGCATGCATGAACTATTTGTCGAGGTACAACATTGTTGATGGCAGAGAATCAGAGTAAACAATCATGCTTCTCAACTTGCTTGACAGTGGTGCCCCAAAATGGGGATAAATTGTCATATCAAACCGAGTAGGTTCCATGAGCCCCTTGGACCGGATCCAATGAAGCTCGGATCCACTACACCATCTGAGAGGGGTATGAGTACCTCTAATGACGAAACCCTGAATCACCCCGTCATCAGTCCATGAGGGGGGAAAGAAAGCTAAGTTCCCCATTCTGTTACCTCCTGAGTGAAGATAAGGTCCAGTGTGTGGCTGTGATCATGAGTTGCACCACACATAGACTGGGTGAAACCCATGGACCCCATGGTGCCCAATAGATCTATGGCAAGTTAATCCGTGGAATCATCGACCCAAGAGTTGAAATTTCCCAGCACAATAGTACAGGGGAATTGCAAACTTAGCGGGGAGATTACCTGGATAAATTATGCACAGCATCGCTCCTGTAGCCGTGTAGCCTTTACGCAAGGATGAGATACATGCCATGACTCCCGTTTGTGGCAGAATGCACGGTCCGATACTCAAACGACCTGACCATCCAGGATGGATGGTACAGATCAGATCAGACTTAAAAATTATGGCTACACCCTCGCCTGTCTTACTATCTGGTCAAGGCTGATCACAACCCTCGCGCAGGACAAGGTGGGGGCATCCTACAGCAATTGTGTCGCACACTAATGGGGCGTAAACAATGCAGAGCTGACCTTGCATTCAGAAGCGCGATGGCAAGGGCAGTCTCCTGAACATCCGGAGTGACCATAGGTTTCAGCATAATATTACGCTGGATAGGAATATTAACCAGGGAGCAACTCCGATAGGCTTTGATGCCCGCTTTCCTATATCTGGGTACCTGCTAGATCTCCTGAGTGGAGAGCAGAGCCGGCTCTACCAAAGCCGCTGGGACCCAGAGATGCAAGCACCTCGACAGGCTGCCTCCATCATGACAGTCCGGGGAATCTTTCCTGGGTGGCAGTGGCAGGGGAGGGGGCTCCTGATGAAGGTACCTGAATAATACAAGTGCCGAGGGAATGATAGCTCCAAACACACAGGGGAGGAAGAAAAGAAACACTCTGAACAAGCCTCCAAAACCACTAACAGCACCCAATCTCAAATAGACAAATACAGACGAAGGTGAATAGGCCCTAGCCCTGGCTCTTCCTGGCACCTGGGGGGCCGAAGATGGACTTGTACACACAGTACACACAGGGGTACACATAGGAGTACACGATGATACACACGGGCACACCCGGGTAAACAGGGTAGACAGAGGTACACACGGATATTCATTGGGGTACGTATAATGATACACACACAGGGGTATCCACGGGGATAGACAGGGATATACACGAGGGTACATGCATGGGTACACATCAGGGTAAAAATAAACACAATTTATAACGCGCATATCTTGCGAATTGGACGCAATCATTCATCAAGAACTCGGAGGCATGGGCCCAAAGCTTCAAGTTCCTCACACACCACCCTGAACAGGCGAAAGCCTGAACAGGTGAGTCACTGAATGGGAGAGTCACTGAACAGGTGAGTCCGTGAACAGGTGAGAGCCTAAACGGGTGAGAGCTTGAACGGGTGATTTTAGATACTCATGGTTGAGCCAGCGATGAGTAGATTTTGAGGGAGCGACACCATGGTGAGCCACTTCCTGATTCCTAGGAAAAGAGCTTCGGATTAATTATGTGGGGTTTAATATGAGATGATTTGTCCAATACGATTTCTGTAAGGTTGAGGTACAATCGGAAAGGTTCATTGGACCCTGATCGGAGTTATAATTGAGTGTCGTCGGTGCAGGTGTGATAGTTTATGCTGTGATTGTCGATGAGGTGACCGATTGGGGAAACTTAGACTGAGAAAAGGACCCACGACGAACCCCTGATGGACACCTTCTGTCGGAGAGATACGATATAAGCCACTGACGAGCTGTACCGATTTAAAGTGTCAAAGGCAGCATATGTGGAGGCTGACAAGGGAATGAATGAAAGTTAAAATGTCATGGCTAATCGTGAGTGGGCTGGGCGGAGGAAGACAAAGAGGGCAGATGTTAGGGGCTAAAGTGAAGTGATATTTGAATTCTGGGTCCTCAGGGTTTAGAGATAGGTTTCATTAGCAGAAGTGTCACTCAGCTCAATTTAAGTGATGGATGAATAACACTGACGGGAATGAGGCACGAGTAAAGGGAGAGACCATAATTGCAAGTTTGTCAGCACGGCGCATCATAGCACTGTCTGGTAAATGATCCAGAAGAGTTTATTATAATAAGTTATATAGCATCAGTCGTGCGAACGCATCTCACCACGCTGAAGATTAGATGATAACTTCTTGGGGTGTAACGGTGAGAGGGGTTTTCGAGTGAGGGGAGTAAAGGGGAATGGCTGGTGGTTGATCTTTACAGCTGAAAGATACACGCTGATGGTGGAGGTGATGCTAGTTCGCTAGAATTTGAGAGCAAGTGAAGAATCGGCCAGGTGATGGCACGCGGTCTCTACTTCGCTGTGATGAAAGATGGCGTGAAGTACGGACCGCAGTTATTGTGGGCGGTTGACGACAGAGAACCGTGTTTAAGATTGTGTGAAGTGCATGAGGGCTGTGATGAGCTTGCTGGTGGCTGCTTTTCAGGCGAGAGATGTGGTTGGCTTCGAGCCCTGGGCATCGGTAGACTGTCTCCGGTCGGCGACTGCTGTGTTTAGATGCAACAGCTGCGGTCGAGAGCCGCGGTTGTCACGAGAGGGGAGCCGGTCGGTTACGCGTTTGACAAGTACTGAAGTCTCAATGATATGTTTAAGGCTAAGCTGCAGTTGATTGGCGCGGATTGTTGTGTCGGATGATGATACCTCTTTCTTGTATGCCCCCCACCCACTGACCCCCCCCCCGCCACTTTCCCACCCAGGCTCGTCGCGGCGTGTTGGGCGTAGCGCTGGTGGTGGGGGTGCACGGCCCCCCCGAGCGTGGTGCGTGTGTGCGGCAGCCCCCCACTCGGCAGTGTGTGGCAGCGACGGCGTGACGTACCGCAGCGAGTGCGCGCTCTTCGCGGCGCGCTCGCACAGCGCCCACCAGGGACTCCCTTCCATCATTGCGCTCCAGCGGGGGGCCTGCGACCCAGGTGGGGGGGGGGGGGGGCTGGGATGGGTGTGGGGAGTGGGGGCGCAGGGGGGGGGATGTTTTATGACAGGAAAGCGTGTTTACAGGTGAGTGGGTAGGTGAGTGTGTGGACATACGAGTGAACTAGTGTTCGTCTAAAGAGTTAACCAGGGAATGAGTGGGCAGGTATTTTGGTGGATAGATGAGTGGACAGCTGAGTGAGTGGACAGGTGTGTGAGTGAATAGAGTGGGCAGGTGAGTGAGTGGGCAGGTGAGTGAGTGGGCAGGTGAGTGGGTGGGGTGAGGAGTGGGGTGAGTGAGTGGGGTGAGGAGTGGGGTGAGGAGTTGGATGAGGAGTGGGGTGAGGCGTGCTGTGTGAACGCAAGGAAAATGATTCCTGTAAACGTGGCTGCGGGCTCCCGTGATATATTTTACCCTGGGTATAATACGTTCCACACAGACGTATTTAGGAATCCACTACCGTAAAGTTACCTGCCTCTGTGGGGTGATGCACACCTGTGATTCAGCACGTTGAAGGCAAAGTTTGGTGGTTCACACAGATTGCCAAGCTCCCAAACTCGCCGAGCTGCAAGAAGATGGTGGCCAGGGGATGGCAGTGCATCAAGCGAATTCATAAACGATCTGTGTAGACGCCCAGTGCCGCCCCCCCCCCCCCCACCTCGTATACATCGCGGTGATGGGTTTTCTCCGGGTTCTCAAATTTCCTCCTCCCACAGGAAGCCGACCTCTCATTAAATATGACGAGCTCATGACCAAACATCCCAGTGCTGCAGGAACCTCCTGAGAGCGATGCTTAAGATTTACTTTGTCTGCGGATATATATGGAATTCTAATGATTCCTATTTAAATGGCGCGTGAGGTGAGTGGATGGGTCAGAAGTGAGTGAGAGAAATGGGTAGGTGAGCAGGAGGGTGAATGGATGAGGGATTGCAATAGCAGGTGAGTGGATAAATGAGCGATTTGGTGAGTTATCGGGTGAGTAGTGAAGATGGCGATTGGGTGGGCGATTGGGTGGGTGAGAGAATGAGTGGGTGAGTGAGTGGGTGAACGGGTGAGTGAGTGGGTGAGCTAGCGACTGTGCCAAGCATCGGTCTCTGCAGGATGTGGAGTAGACGGAGTTTGTGTGTGTGTGGCGAGGAGGAGGCGAGTATGTGTGGTTGAGTACTATGTTGGGGTATATGTGGGGGGTTGCTTCGGAACATTTTTCATGGACCATTTAAAGTCACCCTCGCCGCCCTGCGTTTCCCCCTCCACCCGTCCTCATCCACCCCTCCACCTCTCCACACATTCCCCACACCTCATCCAGACCCTAAACTATTTTTTATTTACCAGCTAAGGCCTACTGAGTTATACAGCTGTTTTTCAGAAGCGACCTGGCCACAAATGACAGCCCAACAAAATGGCTTATCATGTGGAAATATATTGCAGCCAAATATTCTAAGCGCACTTTCATTCTAAATGTTGGATGGAAAAACTAGAAAAAAAATCCGCATGACCAGTGGGAGAACATGCAAACTCCAAATATACAGCAGCATCTTGGGTCGGGATCGAACACACAACCTCCTTCATACCAGGCGAGGTAGTCAACATCCCGCCACCGTAATGGAAACTTTATGCCTCGCAATATGTGCCTTTTTGGTATTTGTGCATATTAATACCTGCTTTATTAATGCCGGACAGGGTAAAGCCGATTCGTTTGGTTCTAATATCTTTATGTGGAAAATAACGGCGAGTCACATTACACTCGTTGTAAATGATTGGGCTGTCAAACGTCACTCTCATTGGCCACGTGAATAGCTCAGAACCCCTCGGGATTTGTACCTTGGGTGGCACCAGTGCTTTGACCTCGCCCATGGGCTATGTGTGTCTACACTAATGTGTGTGTACACTAATGTGTGTGTGTGTACACCAATGTGTGTGTGTACACTAATGTGTGTGTGTACACTAATGTGTGTGTACACCAATATATGTACGTACTCTGTACACTGCTGCTATGTGTACACTAATGTGTGTACGCTAATAAGTGTGCGTGCACTGCTGTGTGCGTACACTGCTGTGTACGTGTGTACACTGCTTTGTGTGTATACACTGCTACACACACACACAGCAGTATACACTACAGTATACACTGCTGCGTGTGTACACTGTGCTGTCTCTAGGCATTACGGAACTCTGCCGTCTGGCTGTGTACACTGGGCCCCAGACCTCGGTGGTTGTGGTTGGATCATAGCCCAGACTCCCACATTGAGTCCTCTGTGCTGGGACACACGGGGAGGGGCGGGGCCGGGGACCCAAAGGCGGGGCCGAGGAAGCAGGGAGCGGAACCATGAGGGTCCAGGCATCCAGAGTCGAATTGAGCCGCTCTAAACTTATCGTCATCAGCATTATTAGCACCACAACCATCAGTATCGTCAGTAGCAGCAGCAGTGGTATCAAAACATTAGCATGAGCAATAGATACAGCAGTCGTTAAACCAGTCCATCAGCCGAATCGGTGTCGTCACTGAAACGAGTGTTGTCTTCAGCTACATCAGTGTCATCAGCAAAACCAGCGCCATCAGATACATCAGTGTTATCAGCTAAATTGATATCATTAGCTAAATCAGTTCAATGAGTTCCATGAGTTGACCAGTGCTATCAGCTGAATTATTGTCATCCAATACATGTCATCAGCTAAATCCATGTGATCAGTGAAACCAGTGTCTTCAGCTAAACCAGTGTCATCAGCTAAATCAGTGCCATCAGCTAAGCCAGTATCTTCAGCTAAATTAGTGTAATCAGCTAAATGAGTATCATAAGCTAAATCCGTATGATCAGCTAAACCAGTGTGATCAGTTCAAACAGGGTCTTCCGCTATCTTAGTGTCATCAGGAAAATGAGTGCTATCAGCTAATGTGATTAATTAAACCAGGGTCTTCAGCTATCTTAGTGTCATTTGGAAAATCGATGTGATAAGCTAAATCATTGTAATCGGTTCCATTAATTGGCCAGTGTAATCAGCTGAATTGTTATCAGCTAAATCAGTGTAACCATCATGACCAGCACCACCATCAGTCCCATCAGTTCGCCTCCCAGGCACAGTCATGACGGGTGCCAGGGTGGAGGAGGGTGGCCACGGTCATGGTGTCTCCGGGGTGCGTGCGGGCGTGACGCCACACTGGGTGGTGCGCGTGCACGTGTGCGCGTGCGTGCTCGTGCTACTGTGTATCGGGGTGTTTGCGTACCTGTTCGTGCGGCCCGTAGACCCCGGTGATGCCGGAGCCCAACCACAGCGTGAGAGCCGGCGGGCGCGCTACAACTTCATCGCGGACGTGGTGCAGCGCGCCGCGCCCGCCGTGGTGCACATCGAGATCTTCAAGAGGTGCGTGCGACTGTGTGTGTGTGTTCCAGAGTGTGTGTGTGTGGGGAGCGGTAGTGTAGCGGTTAGCGCTGCGCTGCACTACGAACCTGGCGACTCGGGTTTGATTCCCGCTCACGGCCAACACCAGTGACGATTATTTGAACCGGTCCTGGGCCTCCCCTAGGTCGCCTCAGCCTAAAATGAGTACCTCGTGCGGTGTGTAAACATCGCTACTAGGGAGACAAAGGCAGCCGGGCGTGGTGTTGGTCACCCACCCCCTCGTGTGCCGTGCCGGCCTTCATAGGTGCTCGCTAACAGCACTTGCCCCAACAGTCTGTTGAGGCTACACGGGGATCTTTGTTTTTGTATGTGTGCGAGTGGTGCATCGGCCAGTGATCTCAGTCAGCCAACCCATGGCACCTGGGTCTGTCCCGTGACCTGTCAGCGAGCCTTCGAAACTTCATGTGGCCTCAAAGTGCATATAGCCTGGCACAAGAGCCGTGGTGACATCACCTCCACTTAGTGGCGAATGGCGGTTGTTGTGTGTGTGTGCGCGGAGCGTGTGTAATTGTGAGTGAGTGTATATGCGATTGTTTGTGTGTCTTATGACCAGCTCTGGTTTGGCAGCAGAGGTTTCATTCCAAATCAGTCGAGCGGCATTGTCTTTTTATCGGCTGCGTCATACTATGTGGAAGCTATCTGGCTTGTCGCTCCAAACAAAGCTCCAGGTCTTCTCGGCCACAGTCATGCCCTCCTCCCGTGTATATGATAGCGAAGTGTGGAGCCCTCTAATTGAACATCAGCGCCGGTTCGAAAGATTCAGGCTGACCTGCCTACAATCCTTCCTGGGTTAACTAGACTGGTTTGTGCGAGGAGCTCACAGATCCTTGAAAGATCTGGACACAGTCCTATCGGTGAGCTCCTCCGGCAGGGAAGGCTGCGTTTACTGGATCATGTAGCCCCCGCATGCCCAGCCACGGCATACCCGAGCAGCTTCTGTTTGGCCAGATAGTCGGCTGAATGGGCGTGGAATGGGCTAGAGAAGAGATAGACTGATGTGGTACAGAAGCATATGGTGCTGCGTGGACTTGCCTATGACTGGTACCAGCGGTTTCAAGATCGGCCTCTCTGAAGGAGCGTCGTGAATGATGTTCCGAGAATTTGGAGGCAGTCGCCCTCCAACAACAATAGGCAGCGGAGGAGCGACGCTGACAACAACGATCGTAGCGCCGGGCGATTAAAATGCAGCAATTTGGCACATTTGGGCGACAGGTAGTGCCTCTGACAGGCATCTTGTGACCTGTCAGAGAGCGTTCGACAGGTCACGTGGCCTCAAGGTGCACCTAGCCTGGCACAATCACTGTGGTAACATCACCGTCACTTAGCAAATTGCGGCTGTTGTGAGGGTGTGTAAAATGCAGCAATTTGGCACATTTGTGAGAAAGTAAGACATGTATGTGTGAGATAGGTGTGTGATTGAGAGGTGTATGATGGAGAGGTGTGTGATGGAGAGGTGTGTGGTGGAGAGATATGTGAGAGAGGGCGTGTGATGAAGAGGTGTGTGGGTGCATTGAAGGTTTGTGTATGTGGTGTGTGAGAGAGGTGCATCCGTGTGTGGTGTGCATGTGCAGTTATTAGCGCACTGGAACAGGAGTTTGATTCCCGCTCATGGCCAACATCGCTGGCGAATATCTGAACCAGTCCTGGGCCTCCCCTAGATCGACTCGGCCTTTAATTGAGTACCTGGTGCGGTGTGTAAACATCAGATAAAGGAAGTCTGGCGCGCTGTTTGGCAATCCACTCCCTCGTGTGCCATGCTGGCCTTCGCTAACAGCACTAGCCCCCAGAGCCTGTGTAGGCTGCACGGTGGACTTTTGTATTATACAGAGGTTTGTGTGCATGTAAGACACAGGTATGTGTGTGTACATCGAGATCAAGGCCATAGCCATGGAGTTAACATTGTGGGGGACCAAATCTTCCAGGGAGTCTGGGGTCCCCCCCCAGAAAAAAATCTAAATTTGAAAACGAATTTCCTTCCATTTCCTGCCTAAAATATTAAAAAAACAACTAACACATAGGATGGACTTTTTATTTATTTTTCACAATGATTTTTAATAGTGTATTGTATTACATTGCACTGTTTTTTCTTTTTTTACCTTTTCTTGTTTCATTGTATGTAATGGCAGAGATTAGGGATTAATAAAGTACAACCATAACCACAATCATATAAACAGAAATCTATTTTATAGCAATATATTGGGGGGGACATTTTGAGCATATTTGAATATTATAATTACGGTCTTGATCGAGATACACACCAGGGTAGGTGTGTGAGTGTGGTGTGACGCGTGATGGTGCTGTATGGTGGTGCGGTGGGGTGCGACGCAGCCCGCCCTCGTACGCGCGCGCGGCCCCCGTGTCGAGCGGCTCGGGGTTCCTTGTCTCGGACGAGGGACTCATCGTCACCAACGCGCACGTGGTGGGGGGCGGGGGTGCCACGCGCGTCGTCATGGTGACGCTGCGTGGAGGCCGCTCGTACGAGGCCGAGGTCACGGACGTGGACACCAAGGTGGACATCGCAACGATCCGCATCCACCCGCAGGTGTGACGTGCTCGCTAACTCACTCACCCACACAATAACCACAACAACGGCCGTGGTCGTGACGCCACCATGGCGCTTGTGCCAGGCTAGTTGAATCTTGCAGCCACGTGAAGTGTCGAAGGCTCGCTCACAGGAGATCGCGGAACACACCCAGGTGACCGAGTGAGATGACTGCCAGATCCACCACCTGTGCCCCCATTCGCTGCGTTTGAGCTGACTGGTGCTCCTCGTTGTGAGCGTCTCTCATATGCCCTCTGATGTTGCTGGAGGGCGACTGTCTCCAAGTGCCCAGTCTTGGGCAAGTCCACTTAGCTCCACATGCTACATGATCTGGCCATCACAGCCTTATCTCCCGGGCAAGTGCTGTTAGCGAGCATCTCTGAAGGCTGGCACGGCACACGAGGGTGTGGGTGGCCAACACCACGCCAGGCCGCCTTTGTCTCCCCAGTGGTGATGTTTATACAACGCACCAGGTACTTATTTCAGGCAGAGTCGACCCAGGACTGGTTCAGATAATCGTCACTGGTGTTGGCCGTGAGCGCAAATATAACTCGGGTAACCGGGTTCGTAGCGCAGCGGGTGAACTGCTACACTACTGCTCCCCACTCATATACACACACACACTCATTGACCCACTTACTCACACACTCATACACCGTACACTACACACACCCACCATCTGCATCCCCGCAAGGTGTGATGCACTCAGCAAGCATGCAGGGTGGGAGAGATTCCGAAATGGGCAAGGTTCATTTCACTGACAATGCAACGCCTGCTGCAGAAGAGTTTGTGGTGTAGCTTTAGACCAGGGGTGTCCAAACTACGGCCCGCGGGCCAACTGCGGCCCGCCATCCATTTTTAATTGGCCCGTATCAAAGTCTAAAAATATAATGGACTATGGCCCACTGTATTGCACTTCTTAGTTTAAAAACTAGGTGGCGCTATTGTCTTGAACAAGGCAGCGTCTCCACAAAGCAAGCAATCGAAGAAAAAATTTGCTCGGGGTCACCAGAAATGACGGAACCGAAGAGACGCAAGATTGCAAGCGAGTGCAGAAAATATCAGGCTCGGTGGACAGAGCTCTCCATGAGATCAGTGACCCTTTATGGTTGGCAGACCTGTCTTTTTTAGTTGATCTCACTGATCATCTCAACACCCTGAACAAGAGACTACAAGGCAAAGAGCAGCTGGTACTACAGCTGTATGCGCACATGAAAGCATTCCGTGCGAAGCTCCGTCTCGAGTCACAACTGTGCAACTTCAATGTAGCGCACTTCCCCACGTTGACCGAAATCAAATGCGCATTTCCAAATGCCAAGCTCTCTGCAAAAATGGGAGAATATGTGTCTGTGATCACATCTCTCATGACAGAATTCAGTCAGCGCTTCCAAGATTATTCTGTTATTGAGAAGGAAATCACACTGTTTGCGGCTCCGTTTTCAATGGATGCAAAATAAGTGGAGGAGAGTCTGCAATTAGAACTGATCGAAATTCAGTGTGATGATTCTCTGAAGAATCAGCATTAGCTTCTCTCCCTACCTGACTTCTACCGGAGCTTGGAAAAGGCCAAGTTTCCTCTGATGAGACGCCACGCAAAACGAATGATGAGTCTGTTCGGCTCAACATACATCTGTGAGCAGACATTCTCTCTGTTAACGCTGAACAAAAGCAGACTGAGAACCAGAACGACCAACAGCCATTTCCGTGACGTCCTTCGCATCTCAACCACTAAACTTACTTCTGACCTGCCAGCTATCCTTCAGACCAAAGCGCAGCATCACTGCTCCCACTGAGTGCAACATTCTTCCCATTACAGGTAAGTTAAAAATATACACACAGTTTTCATTTGTTAATAAGCCCAATTACTTAATCAATTCAGTCAATTAAAGTTGATGACAATTTTTTAACAAACGTTAGTTGATGTGTTAACAAGCCCAATAATTTGTGTAATAAGCTTTAAATATCCACATCCCCTATTTCTCTTCTTGTCTCTCCCTTCATACAGGACAATGAAGGGGGATCAGCACCCTAATAACTAATCTGAGGCTGTCACTGAGAGAATGACCTGCCAACCTTTTTGTAAAAAATAAAATGAATATCTACTAATGGAGAGCTATGATGGAGGCTTTTTTTCTTCAAACATGTTCAATTATCAAACGTAATTTACCTGCATTTGATTGATTTTGCCAATATTAGTGCATGAGAAGTGAAGCAGTATACCTCACGTCTAGTGAGTGGCCCAGTCTTTCATATATTTTTCTGTATGTGGCCCTCGGGAAAAAAAGTTTGAACACCCCTGCTTTAGACGGTCGGACCACAGGCACCAGCATCGACTCTGTCCACTACTCTCCATTCACCAAAACAAACAAATATAATCTCTGTCCCCAGCGAGTGATGCACCGTCACAGGAAATCATGCCTTCGCACGACAAAGCAGTCCACATGGGAGCTTCATGCTCCACGTGACTCGGGGTGGAAACCCGGCGCTGTAGGAAAAATTGACCCCCGTAAATGTCGCTGCGGATGCCTGCATTGACGTGGATTTAATGCCCTTGACAGAAAACGCACTGCAGCAGGAACCGTATGTGCAAATAAAGTACAATGGCCATGTACAACCGTGTGCTCTTGTCAGATGTGTAAAATGTCTATTTTTTGCCGTATTTAGAATTTAAAAGAATTACGTAATTTGTAGGAAAACAGATTTGTAGCAGTATGTTTGATGCAGTACCGTAGGTTGGTGTTTTACCCTCAAACACAATATTATAAATATAATATAAAATCACGTGACAACATTTCAAAAGATTTGTTCTCACATATATAGCATTTCCATCCTAGTATTTAGTTACCATTTTGTAAAATTATATTTCGGATAATTCCTACACATTAAAACAAATATTCCATTGAATTTCGAGACCTCAAAAATCCTGTACAAAGTTTTGAAATGTCAAGTGAAGCTGCTCTAGAACTGGAAAAAAATCACAACAGGTTTTGGTCGTCATCTTGGTGGCCATCTTGAATTCTCGGCCTCAGGTTGAACCTTCGGCATGGGAACAGCAATTTTCGGTCGAATTTCCCTGCAAGACACCTGCTGGTGGCTTGTCACATTAATTGCCTTTCGCATCACACGTTTTTTGGATGACTGATTGTGCTTGTGTGTATGACTGGACATAGCCTGGCACAAACACCGTGGCTGCATTTGTGTGCGCATGCGCGTGAGTGCATGGCTGTGCATGCAAAAACAACATCATACCTCCTCGATGGTGCTGGACGGTAACGTTGTGGTGGATGTGAGAAATGCCTTGCAGTTAAGGCCAATTCCAAAATCGGCTATTCCCCACATGGCGGCCAAATGGGGGCTCTGGATGTGTGCGAGGGGCTGGTAACTCCTCCACCTTCAATTCAACTATCACTGAACTATGTGCAAAATATAGAACAAAGGTTTTGCCGGAGGTCCAAGGGAGACAGGCTTCTATGACATCTCCTGGCCAAACCCCAATTGGCAGAGGCAGGAGACTGAATCCTTACCCTCGGGGTTCCTCCAGAAACAACAAAAAGCCACTGCGAGTGGCCATGTGGAATGTTCGAACGCTCATTGCGGAGGAGAGGCTGCCACTCCCCTGTCGTGAGATGGACCGGTACTGTCTGGATCTCTATGGCATTCAGGAGGTCCGGTGGACTGGCTCTGGCTCCAGTCACCACGAGGGGTGGACAGTCCTCTAGTCGGAGCAGGAGACTGCCAATCAACAGGGAGTGGCTCTTCTTCAGAACAAAATAATGAAGGGGGCGTGGGAGCGTGGAGTTGTGGGAAGCTGTAAGCCCCAGTCTACTATGGGCTCGCCTTCCCATCAACCAGAGGCGAGGAGTGGTGGTGGTGGTTACTTATGCCCCCACCGAAGATCTTAGTCAGTTAACCCATGGCACCTGGGTCTGTTTCGTGACCTCCAGCCAGCGGGCATTCGACACTTCACGTGGCCTTAAAGTGCACTTAGCCTGGCACAAGTGCCATGGTGACATCACCATCACTTAGTGGCGGTTGGCGTTGTTGCACATGCGTGACTGGGTGTGGCTGCGTGCGTGTATGTGCGTGACTGCATGCTCACATGTGTATGACTGTGTGCATGCGTGACTGCGTATGCGTGTGTGAAGGTGTTTTAGTCCGTGACTGTGTGTGTGTGGGCGTGCATTTGTGCAGCACCCGCTGGCCGTCCTGCAGCTGGGCCGCTCGAGCGAGCTGCGGCCTGGTGAGTTTGTGGTAGCCATCGGCAGCCCCTTCGCTCTGCAGAACACCGTGACCACGGGGATTGTGAGCACTGCGCAGCGTGGGGGCCGCGAGCTGGGCCTGCATGACTCCGACCTCGACTACATCCAGACCGACGCCATCATCAACGTGCGCGCCGCACCACGGCACTCGCCGCAACACACCGTGACACCACACCGAGATACTCGCCACAACGTGATACCACACCGAGATGCTCACCGCAAAACACTGTGACACCACACCGTGATACTTATTGCACCCACGGTACAGAGATAATCACCACACTGCACCACAACACAATGCGCACAACACCTCACTGTGATAATCACCACCCTGGATCGCAAAACACACCAAACACCACACCGTGATACTTTCACACTCTCATACTCTCTCACATTCTCTCACTCCCACTCTCACACAACAAACGCCGTTCGCCACTATGTGGCGGTGACGTCACCACAGCACTTGTGCCAAGCTAAGTGTACTTTATGGCCACGTGAAGTGTCGAACACATGTTAGCAGGAGGTCATGGGACAGACCCTAGCACAGCACGCTAACCGCTACACTATCACTCCCGTACACACTCTCACACTCTCTCACACACACTCTCACACTCACGCACTCTCTCACCCATACTCTCACTGTCACACACTCTCACGCATTCTCTCACACACACTCTCACTGTCACACACGCTAACATACACTCTAGCACTCTCTCTGCCACACACTCTTACACTCATTCACATACTCTCACTCTTGCCCAAAAACTCAGATTTGACAGTGGTGATGATGTTGGTGATATTGATAGTGTTTCCGGTGATGTTGGTGATGTCGTTGCAGTACGGTAATTCTGGAGGGCCGCTCGTCAACCTGGTGAGTGATGTCACATGACCCTGACCCTACCCTGGGGCACTGGCTGTCAAACACAGTGTGACCACGACGACGATGATGATGCAGCCTGCGTGATGATGTAATAACCATGATGATGATAATGTTCACGTTGGATGTAGTGATAGTAGTGATAATAATAAAAAATACTTTCATTTTATATATAACTACCTTTACTACCCGGCTTCGCCCGGGACTTGGATTCTTGTCTAGGATTAATTTTGTCTTTACTTATTTAACTGAAAAACCCTGAATAAATGTATGCTTGCATGAAAGAAAAAAGCCGAAACAAATCAATTGAACTAAATCGGATGATTTTCACTGAAGGAAATTCAACCCGAACCCACTTCTACGTAAGGTCGATTTAGGCAACTCGGGAAGGGAATGACATGGCGAGCTGAAAATAGTCGCGTTCCCTTAGAAATTCCATACAGCATAAGCTGTGCAAATTTCATTACGTCAGAGGTCAGCGGTCGAGAGTTTTTGCTGCTTCACACAAACAGATGAACTTTCGGCTTTATATTTAAGAGTGAGCTGAAAATTCGCATTCCCTTAGAAATTCGAGACAGCTACGCCGCGCATTTGTGCGGGATACACGGCCTACGCGGACTCTTGCAGCTGCGCTTTGGCCGTACTGCACACGTTGGATGAGGGACGAAGGACGACCAAATTTAAAAACACATTGCAGTCGTCTATCCTGGAAGTTACAAATGCATGGATTATTTCTTCGGCAGCCATATCGGAGAGAGTTGCGGATATGGGAAATGTTACGAAGATGAAAGTAAACGGGCTTGCACATATAGGATATGTGAGAAGAAAAGGAGAGTATTCTTTGGTTCTTTCGGTAAAGTCACGTAGAAATAGAAAATATTAAATTAAATAATATCATACGACGTTTCAATTGCAAAGCAAGCAATCATCAGGTACAAATGAAAGAGAAACAAACCTAGTGAACTTAGAAATATAATGCAACACAGCGCAGAAAGTCGGCTGACACAGCAGTTAACACCCTACCTGGTTGATTACGTCCAAGAGACACAGAACCGGAGACACAAACAGAGACACACAAGCGGAAAGAGTTAACACAGAGACACAGAGAGAGAGAGAGACACACGCATGGGCACACAGAGAAACAACGTCTCTGTGTCGAGGCCTTAAATAGCTAGAGAGGGGGTACAGAGAGAGAGGGGGGGGTTAGAAGAATTAGCATGTCAATGGGAGATCCCACAATGAGAGCTCCACCGCCAACGCTGAGGGGAGACAGAGGCAACACTAAATCAAACTAACTTGGTAAAATTTGGAAATGTATTGTAATGCGACACAGAGTCGGTCAACACACAATCAACACATGGCCTGGTCGATTACGCCACTCCAAAGATTGCTCAATTAGAAATTAAGTGTGAAATTTGGGAGAGAGACAAGGCACAGACATGGAGACACAAAGACAGACACACAAGCAGAGAGAGACAACGAGACATAGAGAAATTTGGGAGAGAGACAAGGCACAAACATGGAGACACAAAGACAGACACACAAGCAGAGAGAGACAACAACGAGACACAGAGAGAAAAAAAAACTTAAAACCTCCCCGTAGAAGTGGTTCAAACTTGATTTGATGCTTTTGTGACTGCAGTAATAAAAGGAGAGGTTGCAGTCAAGAATGAACCCCAGATTTCGTGCCTGTTGGCGAATATGAAGATCAGAGTCAAGCAGACCGATGGTAGATTGCTGATGTGAGGTAATTGATTTTGCTCAACTAAGAGAACTTCAGTTTTCGAGTTATTTAGTTGAAGAAAATTCGCTGCGAGCCAATAAGAAACTGCAGTAAAACAGGAAGTCAGGGTGGAAAGTAGATTTAAATCAGACTGATTGAAACTAATAATTAATCTGTGTTATCATGTTCATGGAAATTGTGTTTTATACCAAAGCTTGAAATGAGTTTGCCAAGAGGAAGAACCTATATATGTCATTAGACCTCCTTTGCCAGTACTAAAATATAATAATAGGGTTTTCCCCCTTTTTTCTGGCAACAAAACTGAAACCTTTTTACGAGGAATCATGTGTGCATTAACCACAATACGTGTGGTCAAAATGCAAACAAAAAACACACTGATTATATATGCATTGTCCTTGAAACTGATTGGTCCACACATGATTCGTTGTAAAAAGGTTTCAGTTTTGTTTCCAGAAAAAAAGGGAAAAACCCTATTATTAACCTATATATGGTGAAGAGAAGATGACAGAATAGACCCTCGGGGAACAACACAAAGCAGAGGCTTGTGAGACAGGATGCAACACTACTTATAGAAACGTAACACACTCGATCAGAGAGATACGAAGAGAACCAAGTTAGAAAGGCATCGGAGCAGCTGACATTCCTGTGAAGGCGGCTCGAGGAGGACAGAATGATCAAAAGTGTCAAACGCAGAGAAGAACCAAGTAATAAAGAGACCCAGAGTCAGTACAGTGAGGAAAAAAGTATTTGACCCCCTGCTGATTTTGTACATTTGCCCACTGACAAAGAAATGATCAATCTATAATTTTAATGGTAGGTTTATTTGAACAGTGAAAGACAGAATAACAACAAGAAAATCCAGAAAAACGAATGTCAAAATTTTTATAAATTGATTCGCATTTTAATGAGGGAAATAAGTATTTGACCCCTCTGCAAAACATGACTTAGTACTTGGTGACCCCTCTGCAAAACATGACTTAGTACTTGGTGGCAAAACCCTTGTTGGCAATCACAGAGGTCAGACGTTTCTTGTAGTTTGCCACCAGGTTTGCACACATCTCAGGAGGGATTTTGTCCCACTCCTCTTTGCAGATCTTCTCCAAGTCATTAAGGTTTCGAGGCTGACATTTGGCAACTCGAACCTTCAGCTCTCTCCACAGATTTTCTATGGGATTAAGGTCTGGAGACTAGCCAGGCCACTCCACGACCTTAATGTGCTTCTTCTTGAGCCATCATTTGTTGCCTTGGCCGTGTGTTTTGGGTCATTGTCATGCTGGAATACCCATCCACGACCCATTTTCAATGCCCCTTGCTGAGGGAAGGAGGTTCTCACCCAAGATTTGATGGTACATGGCCCCGTCCATCGTCCCTTTGATGCGGTGAAGTTGTCCTGTCCCCATTGCAGAAAAACACCCCCAAAGCATGTTTCAACCTCCATGTTTGACGGTGGGGATGGTGTTCTTGGGATCATAGGCAGCATTCCTCCTCCTCCAAACACGGCGAGTTAAGTTGATGCCAAAGAGCTCCATTTTGGTCTCATCTGACCACAACACTTTCACCCAGTTGTCCTCTGAATCATCCAGATGTTCATTGGCAAACTTCAGACGGGCATGTATATGTGCTTTCTTGAGCAGGGGGACCTTGCGGGCGCTGCAGGATTTCAGTCCTTCACGGCGTAGTGTGTTACCAATTGTTTTCTTGGTGACTATGGTCCGAGCTGCCTTGAGATCATTGACAAGATCCTCCCGTGTAGTTCTGAGCTGATTCCTCACCGTTCTCATAATCATTGCAACTCCACGAGGTGAGATTTTGCATGGAGCCCCAGGCCGAGGGAGATTGACAGTTCTTTTGTGTTTCTTCCATTTGCGAATAATCGCATCAACTGTTGTCACCTTCTCACCAAGCTGCTTGGCAATGGTCTTGTAGCCCATTCCAGCCTTGTGTAGGTCTACAATCTTGTCCCTGACATCCTTGGAGAGCTCTTTGATCTTGACCATGGTGGAGAGTTTGGAATCTGATTGATTGATTGCTTCTGTGGACAGGTGTCTTTTATACAGGTAACAAGCTGAGATTAGGAGCACTCCCTTTAAGAGTGTGCTCCTAATCTCAGCTCGTTACCTGTATAAAAGACACCTGGGAGCCAGGCATCTTTCTGATTGAGAGGTCAAATACTTGTTTCCCTCATTAAAATGCGAATCAATTTATAACATTTTTGACATGCGTTTTTCTGGATTTTGTTGTTGTTATTCTGTCTCTCACTGTTCAAATAAACCTACCATTAAAGTTATAGACTGATCATTTCTTTGTCAATGGGCAAACGTACAAAATCAGCAGGGGATCAAATACTTTTTTCCATCACTGTAGATAAGAGAAGCTCGTTTGAGACAAGAATTAACGCCGTTTCAGTTGAGTGATTTTTTTTCTTCCAAAAAAACATTGAATTTGGTCAGAGGTTATTTTGAAGATGGTTAATGAGATTATATACGACACATAGTTTTGATAGGAGAAAACTCGTGAACTACCACTAATTATTATTCTTTGGGTCTTTAGGTAAAGTGACGTAGATAGGTTCAAAGAAAATAACCAAAAACTACGACGTTTCGATTACAGCACAAACGATCGTCATCTTTTTCCTCCTGATGATGATCGCTTGTGTTGTGATCGAAACGTCGTAGTTTTATTTTTATTTTCTTTGAACCTATCTCCGTGACTTTACCGAAAGACCCAAATAATATGAATTTCTGCAGTCATGAAAGCTTTAAGTCAAGATTTACCTCTGTAATTATTTGTATTATAATGATCAACAGATGGTGCATCAGGAATAAGAAAACAGGGATTTTTAGCCATAATATGTGAAGAGAGTAGAGAACAGGAGATATTTTGATAAGATCGATAAGAAAAGGTGGCGACATTAGGAGGAATACTTGGAAGGCAAAGGGTGCAATAAATACGGTAGTGGTCACTGTAAATAACAGGGAAGATTTCTGAAATCGTGATTTCAATTTTTTTTAAACAACCAGATCGAAGATTTTTCGATTTAAAGCTTTCGTGACTGCAAGGATTCATCTTCTTTGGTTCTTTCGGTAAAGTCACGTAGAATGAGAATAAAATAATAAAACAAAATAAGACAATAAAATTCTCACGATGTTTCGGCCACAACACAAGCAGCCTTCATCAGGTGAACAGAACTGTCGGGACGACAGTGCTCCAATGAGCGTTGTTAAGATTTGTAGCGTCTTTTTAACCTCAG